TTGGTGATAACGATTGATGAACATAAAATAGGACTTTATATACATCCAAGAGTGCAATGAAATTAACTTTGTTCTGTTTTTGTAGAAAAATTAGCACTTCAATGTTTGTAATGATTATTACCATTCACATTATAGCACAATAATAAAAAAAAAGTGCTGTGCTATTGTATAATTCAATTAATCATAACATTCATTATCACGGCACGAATTTTAAGTTCAATTAAAATACTTTAAGTCTCTAATTTAGAATATGTGATCTTTTAATTAAAATGTATTGCTAAATATTTTCATAATGGTTATGCAGGCAACCTGATAAAAAATTAATGATATAATTAATGAATATAAATATTACAGTGATGACCCAACATAAACCCGACTTACGACTGTTTCAATATACAAGCAAAATTCGAGATACAAGCTTTGAGCCTTCAAGAGTTTTCTATAAAACGTTAATGGCAAAATTAAAATATAATAATTTAAGTTAGTTATTTCAATTATATATTAATATTAATTGTACAATAACGATTAAAATTTAGACTGTACATTAATGATGCATGTACTGTTATATACGTTGAGTTCGCGTTTTTTGCTTTTTATAAATTTGCAAAATATTATTTACTTGTTTAATAATGGATAAAAACAAAACTTTGTACTGTATTGTACTGTACTGTACAGCTGCCAAGTAGGGAATGCAATACCGGTATACCGAATTACCGGTAAACCGCCCGATTTTACGGCGGTATTTTTACCGGTATTTATTCCAAAAATACCGGTATTTTCGGTAATTTACATAAGCGCTATTTGATACATAATACCCTAATGTTTAATTTCTCGGAACAATTTATCTTTAAATTCCATAATCACATAAACAGCTATATCTTCACGTGCTTCTATAAGATAAACATATGTTAATATTATCTCAACTCATCATTAATCTGAATATTTATTGCTTTCCAAAGGGCTTCATATCGTGTTACAATAAATAGAATAGGACTGATAGATAATTCTGTTTGTTTCATCTTTTGTAAATATGTAACGGCTTTTTAAGTGATATTGTGCCAACATATTTTATATCATACTGCGTAATCTTTTTTTTTTCTAAATTTATACATAAATTATGATCATTACTAAATATTTTTGCTTTTTATTACAAATATAAAATATTATTTTCGACAACGTTTCGAAGTTTGAAAATACTATAGAAGCATCACATTGTTTTAAATAACAATACTCAACAATTATAGTACTTATTATTTATCTCGACAAAGTATCCGATCTTAATAGTGTAGAAAAATTATTTTTTTTAAATATTGGAGATTATGCTAATTTACACATCGGATACAGACAATACAGTTTATTATAATAATGTAATATGATCTTTTATGAGTTTTTGGTCTTTCTTACTAATAAGTTTGTTTTTGGTGAAAGTACTCAATATACTTGATAGTGATAATGAATTAATTAAATTGCATATACTTTTGTTAAATTATTATTTAAAAAAATAAATTTATTGTTTTATTTATTGTTTAGTTGAATATAGTTGTAGTTGTATATAATTTTTTTTTATTTGTACTAGTAACTTTCAATTTTGTTTAGGTTTGTTGAAGATAATAAAAATACGGTAATTTACCGGTATTCCGGTTTTAAAATGAAAAATTACCGAAATACCGGTATTGAAATTTTCTATCGGTATTGCATTCCCTACTGCCAAGGATGTACGAGGAAACACATCAGAGATATGTACTGTGTGTAAATAGGAGTTGATGAAGGGTGTACTCCAGCTTTCTGAGCTCTAAATTATCTACAAAATCACCTCAAAAAGTTGCAACAGTTCAAATATCTAACAGAAACCACAGTGCCTGAACAAATTAATGGCATTTCAATGTGGTTACGGAACAAATTAAACTCGTATGTCGGGGTGCCACTTTACATGTAAAAGATTCAGAATGAAATACAAAATAAAAACCAAAACAATTAACAATATAAAAACGACGCCGCACTTACAGCGAAATTCTTATAGATGAGCACAGGCTGTTTAAATATTGGATTTTACATTAGATTTTAATAGAAACAGTCATTTAAGCATTTAAACAAGATTACGGAAAATTGAAATTAATAACATTTCAAGAAAGTTTGTTCAAAGTATTTTAATATTTGCATATGCTGACTGCCATGAATATTAGACTAATAAGATGAAGAATAAGTTAAAATGAAATTGAAAATGACGATGTATTGTTTTGTCACATTTGGCAATAAAATAAGATTCTTACTGACTTTGTTGGCGGCTTTGTTGATCGCATTAGGTTTAGTTTTACCAAACAAACCCGATACGCTAGTGCTTGTACCAGTATTGGTACTGCTTATGATCGGGTTTGCTATCAATAGGCTGCTAGATGTTGATTGAGCTGGAGTGCCAGAACTGTTGTTTGTTAAAGATTGAACATCTGTTGAAGCATTGCTATTTGTATGTCTGTAAATAAAATAAAATAATTGTAATTGATAATATTGTATATCAATTTTTAGTTTTTTTTTTTCTTAAGGGGGTTGTTCTTTTTTTGTTACAAAAAATGCAAGATATTTGTTTTCGTTTTTCTCGAAATGTATTTATCATAGAGACATGCGGTTTTTATTAAACAAAAATTACAAAGTCATAGAATATTACGTGATTATCTTCTTTTTTTTGTGCCGTCATTTTTTAACCAGGGGGCGCCAAAGTCGGTCTTGCAAAATCGATCTCTTTTGCGGTGCCACAGATAAAACCGTTGCGCATCGCCCAAAACCAAAAAAAAAAAAAACGTTGAAGAAGAAGTTTGAATCCAGTCCCCCTACCAAAATTAAAGAAAAAAGCAAGCAGGGAGAATATGGCAGCTATTTGAAAAAACAAGTATCAAAAAAGGCCTTTTTTTGGGGGCGAGAAGCTTCGCAAAAATTTTTTGCGTAATGTTATCAAGTTGTTTGAGGTAGGGGGACTAGGTATTGCAGTGGTGAACAAATTAAAAAAATGCAAGTCGATCCGACTTGTAGTTTTTTTTTAATTTGTGGCACCGCATTGAAAAAAGTCAATTTGAGAAAAACGTATTTAAAGTTTTTAATATAATGTACTAAATACACCATTTAATTTAATGTACTAAATACACCATGGTATTCAAAGATGCTGACACATTAAAAAGGTCATGTGCATGAGGTATTATAATGAAAAAGAGGCAGCTGGCATACAATAGCTCGCGGAGCGATAAAAAAACGCTTTCAGAGGATCATACATATGGAGATAAATATATCTATAACTTCGTCAAAAAAATATATATTGAGATGATTTTTTTTAAATAATTCTAAGGTTTTTAGCTTTCATAATATCAAAAATTTCAAAACCAAAACGAAGAAAAATAAAAAAAAGAACAACCCTTAAACAATGTTTTCCTTAATACAAAGCATAATTTATTATTGACATTTATAGTATAATAAAAAAAAAATGATCATACTCACATATCAGGATTTTCTCTTGTCCTATTGTCACTATCATCACTATCTGATAAACTCAGTTCAGAAGAACTCTCATCGCCCTTTTTCCTTCCATAATATTTTTTTATTGGTGGTCCAGCCACAGGTGAATGTACATCATTTGCACTTGAATTGTCTTTCGAATTATCATTGTCATTATCTTTAGAAACAGTTGGGGATAGTTTCTTTGTCAGGCTCTTGTGGGAAGATCTAGAGCTGCTTGAAGAGTCAGAGTAGGTAGAACGAGATCTAGATCTGCAAAACATTGTATTGCACATGAATATAAATTTGTAATCAACATTATTTCATCATATTTGTCAGCAGTATCTGTTTAAGGTTGTAATATAAGCAAATTGCAGAATAAAGTTGACTAAAAAATAAAGCTATTGAGAAACTGTATATCAATATTAATCAGTAGTAAATATATCATTAATTATTATATATACTTAGATCTTAAATATAAAGAAATTTAAAAAAATAGGCCTTTACTTTTACATACCTTTTTCTGGATCTCGATCTTCTTGATCTCGACCTAGAACGTCTCCTACTACTCAATTTGAGAGAACGGTTGGAATTATGGTAGCGGCTAGAACGAGTTTTTGACCGCGATCTTGTTCTCGATCTACGTCTTCTATGTGATGAATATGGGGAACGAGATCGTTGTCTATAACTGCGTGGTTTAGAATATGACCTAAATATGATTTGAAAACTATAATCAAAAACTATAAAAATATATATTAACTAAAAAATGAAGGCATAATATGCAATAAACTAAAATATTTGCTATTGATTGATAACACCAAATCTAACAAATTCATGAAATGTAATATAACTCAATTATGCATATTGATTTATTCACAAACCTGCTTCGCCTATGTCCATTACGTGATCGACTTCTTGATCTTGACCTACTTGACCTAGTCCCTCTTCGAGATCTACTCCTACTTCGGCGCCTTCGAACGGAACTACTCTTTAATTTATCAGCATATGTAGATTTTTTTCTTAAACTACTGGTGCTTCCTTTCTCTAAAATACTTCCAGAACTTTTATTGAAATTTTTTCCTGTTTCTTCTTCCCCTCCAAAAGAAGTTATATATGTTATTTGACCCAATGAAGATGGTGATGGTGATCGGGATACAGATTTTTCTACTTTTGGACCTTCCTCTGGGGCTTTTTCAACAGCAAAACTGAATGATGTGAAATGATGGTCTAGGAGTCGCTTTTCCCTATTTATTAGAAATATTTTCTTCAGGTTCAGTCAAGAAAGGGATAATGTGCACATAAGAAACATTTTTAATAATATGTCCGAGTTAATTAAATATATATATATATATATATATATATATATATATATATATATATAAAGCAAGAGGTTTTTCTTCAGATGGTGAAATAATATGATAAAATTGTTTCTTGGGCAACCATTCAGTAATTAAAAACAGTTTTATTGAAGGAAAATGTTTTTATTGTTTAAAGTTTGAATGGAAAGAGCATGAAAAAAATTTTGAAAATTTAAAAAAATAGTTTTAGGTATAACTTAGCGACAAATGAATGAGTTTTAATCATTCATTTATTCGCTAAATTACATGTAAAAAAACATTTTTAAAATTTTTGAAAATTTTTTCATACAAAACTTTAATTAAATTGCGCTTTATCTGAATGTTAATATTAAGAGCTAAAACTTTCAGAGAATTGTTTTTTATCTATTTGGAACCATTTGAGCCCCTGGGAGCAAGGAAATTCGAAAATGACCATTTTAAGGACCACCCTAATATGTATACACACATACATATACATAATATATATAACTCCTCTTTGAAGCAGAGTAATATCATAACTTACAACAACAAAATCCAGATATATAGTTATACTCACGTAGAATACAATTAAAGAGACAAAAAATCATACATAGAAATAAATAGTATATCATACTTATGCTGACGCCTTTCTCGTCTACTTTTCCTGCCACTGTACATAGCCTTTTCCTGTTCCTCCTCTCTAGCTATTCTTAAAGATTCGGCTTCATCAGCATCTTTAGTCAAAAATGAATAAAAGTCATTATCTGCCATTCCATATGCTTGTGCCGCAATATTCATTTCATTTGCCTATAAAATATTAAGTAGATAATTAATATTAATAGCATTTCATTATTTATAATTTTATTTTCTTCTAAATGCAATAGAACTAATATGATAAGAAAACTACAATTATCATTCTAACATCACATAGGGCTCAGAATTATTATATTCACCTCTTAATCACTGTATCACATTTACAATATCATAACATCATGATTATTCAATGTTAATATTAAATTTACATCATTATCAAATGACATGCAAAATGTTTTTTTTTTTTTTATAAAGTTAGCGTAGTTGAAAACACTCACAAATTTTAATGTTTAAATTAGATCTAATATTGCATAAGAAATATGTAAATTATTTATAGTTACCTGAGCTAATCCCACTTTTGTGATATCAATACTAACATCCATATCAATTTCCACTTCAGAATCTGAACTATCCGAATTTCCATCTTTATCAGTTTTTTCAGACTTTCCAGGTATGACTGAGAACAAAACATAACCAATGATTTAATTGTTCTTGAAATATCACCTACATTTTCAATTTATAAAAAACAACTTATAAATATACCTTCAGTATTCTCATAGTTATATCCAATAGCTGCTCCAGTATTGCTGCTACTTTTCTTTTTTTTATTCGATTCTTCAGGGGTTATTCCAAATTGCTCTTCATAAGCCAACTGCTGCAAAAACTTTTCTTCCCGAATTCCTGTAAAAAGTAATCAAAGAATTACATAAACTTTAATGAATTAAAAAAATTCATGTCTGTTTACCTGAAAGTCCAGTATTATGAAAAATAGATATAATTTTTTTTTATTAAAATTCTTAAGAAAGAGGCAAAGCCAAAAAGTATCTAATTCATATTCAATATTGAATACAAAATAAGCATTAATATTATATTAAAAACTATTAAATAAATATTATTGTTTAGTTACTTTTATCACCAACTGTTTTTAATCTAGACTTTTTTAAATTGGATGAGTGATGTTCCTTAATAGTTTGTTGTATATTTATAGGGTTTATTTATTTATCAATTTTGCAAGCCGTCAGTATGATGAAATTATAATAAGGCTCATGTCAATATTTAAAAAAATTATAACTAAACTATTTTATTATTTATTCATTAATTATTTAATTTATTTACTATAAACTTATTTATATTTAGTTAATTTTAATTATTTTTAAATATAAATAGTTTGTTTCATGAAGATTAGTATTTATATATTGCAAGTATTTTTTAACAATTTAATAAGCATTAAGGTTATGAGAATACCATAATTAAATATTGCAGTATAAAAATAAAAAGAAATTACCAAGAAATGTATTCTGAGCCAATATCCGATAACTCTCATAATTACAGTGCCTTTCTTCAGGTGTTAAATCTTCTTTATAACAAGGAATGGTATCAGGAATATAATCCAAATGTGCACGAACATCAAAACGATCAATCATGTTGTCTAAATTATTCTGCCATGGCATCCTAAACCAAAAATTATGTTAAATTTACACATGTATTTTTTTATAGAATCCAAAAAAAAAAAAGATTATATTCATAATATATTTACATATACAATATGGGTGTAAATTTATAGGGCTGTATGTACAAGAGAAATAAGTTTTAACCAACTTTTTAGAAATATATTTACTTAAAAAATAGTAAAAATGATATTATAACACTAAACTTAATCAAATTTGATTTTAAATGATAACAGTCAATCAATTTTGATTTAAAATGTTAATACTTAATGTTAATGTTAATACTTCTGTAAAAATTCCACTTCTATGATATTATCGTTGTGAAAACTATTAGTTATTAGAGTTCATAAATGTATCATCTCCATAAATACATTATAAAGCCGAAATTTGGTTGTTTAAATGAAATTGATATGTTTAATTTAGTTATGAAAAAACGTTATGCCATACATATTAGCAGGACTATCTCCAGCAATTGCAACAGCCGGGTCTAAATGGATTTTGCATTGTCTCCCATGAATCTGCAGAAATTGTGTAGGATCTGCTTTCTGTAAATTATTAATTGAACTTTCAGTTTCATATTATAAAAATAGTTTAAAGTTCGGCATGAATTACCGAATATTTCTCAAATTATATTTAACTTACGATAGTTTCAAAGAAATCTCTTCTCCTTTCAGCACGTCGCTGATAATCAACGAGCATACCCCGTATCTTCTTTTCCTGTCTCCGGGCTTCGTGCCACATTTTGTATCGAATATATATACAATATTTACAATAAATCACTAATTGACATCCACATATTAATCAATTATTTATAAAATGTCAAAACGCGAAAATGCCGATACACTGATATCTGAATGTTTAAAATAGTGTTGCCAGTTGCTATATAATGTTCCAGACATCAAATATTAGGGGGACAGACACGCATGGGGTTGGCAGGTTGGCACTCCTACCGAGGGAGCCCAAATTGCGTAGACAATTTAATTTAATTTAATTTTTGTTGTAATTTAGTTCTCTCAAAAACTGTCATTATTTATACAATTAGCTTGGTATCTCTAAGATGGCTAAACTTGCCCTTGCCAAAAACTGAACACAACTTCTCCCAATTATTATAAATTGCATGTTTTTTGAATTATTCAATTCGGATACTCCGTTCTCTCAAAACCAGAATTTCTACTTTTTGCACTCTTTGCTCCGTATCTCCATAACGGCTAGACCTGCCTTTGCCAAAAACTAATCAGCATATCTCCCTATTAATAGGGATCGAATGTTTTTTGAACCATTCAAATATATCATGGATCAACCATATCGGTTGATCCGTGCGCCCGAAAACGTAGACAAAAAAACGCGGACATACAAAACATACACACACATCCATTTTTTCTGAGGACCTTCAAAATGTAAAGATATGCAAAAAATTTCATTTTCGATTTCCATTAATTTGCTGGCGAGTAACATGCGTTTGCAGCGCCATCAAGTCTGAGCGTTAGACACTTTCCCTAGCTCTCTGAACGTAATTCTGAAAACATAGATAAAAGTCAGTGTAAATAAAGTTGAACTTATTTACAAATACAAATGTCACACGCCCTTTTCTATAAATTATAAATTAATTAGTGACTCACGTATCAAATACTAATTCATATTAATCTGTTCATTTATCTATTTAAATGAAAATATAGTATTACATGTGGTGTAATAATATTATACCATTATATATGATAATGTTTTTCTAACATTTTAATATACAGTATTATTATTATTATTATTTTGTGAATAACGGTTGCCCAAAATAAATTTTAAAGATGAATTATGGAAGAAAAACTCCTTCGACGTATAGGTCGAATCCTTCAGTTTATTCACATATGACTGGAAGGTACAGAATATTTTAAAAATATGTTAACCTAAAGCGTAAAGTAGAAAGTCTCCTAGAGTTATAATTAGATAATTTCATTTGATTGTAATGTTATGAAAGATATATAAAATATATGTTGTTATATTATTCTTTTCAAAATTCTATAGAACATATTTTTTATATCTTCTTCTAATTTGCTTTTGCATACATATTTGATATTTACATGACGCAGACAGTTTTACCTTCAGTAATTTATCATTTAGGTCATCGACTAATTTAAAATCGAGCAGGTCTATGCGCTCTGTCAAAATACCATGGTATCAGAAACCTATCCTGAAAGATGCCTTTCTTATTGATATTCAAAGAGGATCACTATGGATGAGCGGATTCTCAGTTGTAAGATAACAAAGAAATGCTAATAATAAATTACAAACTAATTAAATTATATATTTTTCTGCAGTTTTTAGCTCTATTTACAATGGCAACTGCTATGTTTGATATATATTGCTTAGCAATGGCAGTTCCAGGCAGCACGCATTATGGATATTATATAATTTCTTTCGAATTTGTCTATGTAGGGAGTGTTCATGGTAAGAATTCAAACTTATCAACAAACTTTTATACATAAGAAAGTTATTACAAAAAAATTACTGTGACTCTGACCTTTTCTAGTATAATTTGTAAGCTCTTTAGTCGCATCTAATTATTTGCTCCATAACCAAACATTAATTCTTTCAATATTGAGAATGTTTTATAACAAAAAATTCATACAGGAACTTTTTTCTTTATTTTCTGTAAGATCAATATTTGCAAAATGCATGTAATTAATCATATACTAAATAATAAACCATAAGAGGTTAATTTATGTATGGTAGAGACTCATGCAATATTGTAATATATATGCGATTGTTATAAAACTATCTTGTAACATAGTACATTAATTTTATTTTTAGTTCGAAATGCATTAATAGTATTTGCATTATTTTCCCTGATTGGAGGATTTTGTGTTCTTGTGACAAGTGTAATGTTGATAGTAGCTCTTCGAAAGGTGAGGACTCTTTTTTTTTTATTTTAATGAAATTGTAACATATAGAATATTAATCAAAATTCAATATAAATTAGGTAAAGGCATTTTAATAGAATAAACTTGCCCCATTTTACAATCCTAAAGAATGAACTCAAGAGCGTCATTTTAGATAAATAAAAGAACAATCAAAACAATATTCATTCAACAATAAAAATATGAAATATTTTCAAACTTTATAAAAAATGAATTGTATTTTATGTGTATGCACTAGCTTATTATTCACAGCTTCCTTAATACTTAATAAGGAATCCATGTAATTATAATGCTCTTCTTATATTTATTATTGTAAAAAAAGATCTTAGTAATCAATATAATTAAACTCATTTCATATCTCAAATTAGCTAACGGATAATAAAAGGATTAATCAAAATCGGAAAAAGGTATTTTGGCATATATATAGTATTTTGTCAATTCTATGTAAAAGTTTAATGTGCATTATGAACATTTAGGATCAGAGTTTATTTATTCTATACATTCTAGCAAATTTTGCAGAACAGCTATTTACAACAATTATTTACTATGATATTCTATCATATATAAATCATAACATAGCTATATCAGGATTTAATTAATTAATTCCATCCCTAGATGTTGTTAATTGTTGCTTTAGTCTTGTATTATAAAGAAGCCCTTCTATTTTAAATTGATATTGTATTTGTATTTATTGTAGACAATTAAAGTTTTCAAACTTCTCTAATACTGTAATTGATAAACTCGAATTAAGGTTTGCAAAATAATTTGCAAGTACCTAAGCAAATATTTATTCATAGACATATTTTGCTTGAATGTGATATATATATATATATATATATATATATATATATAATTTTATTAAAATTGAAGGTAATCAAATTAATATAAAATTATTTGACAATATTTAAATGATCAAATAAAAATGAATATATTTGTATTCTATAATTTGGATTTATTATCTTTGCAGGAATATGAAAAAAAGATGCTGCCGTGGATATATGTATTTGCTGCATTTACACTATTCAGATTATTTGCATTTTTGTTTTTTGCAATTGTAAATGATTTGATATTTTCTTATAATATCCTAATTACTTTGTGCTGGTGCCTCTTTATTTTGATATCAATCTATGGATGGTTACTCATCTACTCATTGTATCTGGAATTATCTGATTTGACAAAGTTAGAGGATTTGGCACATTTAAGAGTGAGTTATAAATATTAATATAAATAAAATATTTCCATAAATTTATAAAATGCTGCTGCCGAAAACAATTATTTTGAATATCGTTGATTGCTTTTTCATAGAAAGTTGTATATGTAATTTATATTGATATTTGATTTTTATGCAAAATGCGAATTTGGTTTTATTTTATGTTTTGCCACGTACTCAATGAATTTTGATAAATAAATACATTCAACATTATACATTATTTCAGATGGGAACAATGGCTTCAATTAATGCATCAACAACGCATTCAGTAGCTGGTTCGAGACCTACAACACCTCATAGTACAGTTTCTACAATGCCAGTTGAATAAATATTAATTATTTTACATTTTTTACTGTTTCGGAATTCTACTTTTCAGATGGATGTAAGTATATTATACTTTTTAATATCCAACTATTAGTAATACAAACATTTACTTCCGTTCTCTATAAATATTTAAGTTATTAAAAAGTAAATTTATAATGTTGTTAAAAATTAATAATGAAATATTACTATAAACTTTTCTATTTATTTGGCACAATATATAAGAGCCTATAAATTAGTACACTGCATCTTTAAATTCGGTTGAATTGTAGCTTGTAATATATTATTTCCTGTGCCTTACTACATTTTGATATACAAAACATTCGAATCATGAAAGATCATTCCATAAAAACCATAATGTATCAGTATTATCAAATAATAAATTTTTTAATAATTTTAACTACCACTGATTATATTTGATTGCTTTTTTGTACTGTACAGCAAATAATTTACAGTAAATATGTCAAAGAATTTAATGAAAGCAATCAATTTTTGATTTGTAATTGGTTTAAATATATTATGTTAATTAAATTGAGTATATGTATTAAATTGTAGATTGTTCATTCATATTGCAAAAATACGAATTGAAAAATTAATTATTTAATTAAAGATCTATAAATTCCGTCCAAAACTTAATCACTGATTACAAAATTTGTGCAGTAGTTGCACATATTTATTTTAAATGTAATTTAGATGTTATTTTTTTGCATATTTCAATAGGATAGTTTTTTTTACAAAAAAATATTATGTAATCAATATAAGAATTTTAAAATGTTAGATTTATATTATATAATTAATAATATATATTAATAATGTGTGAATCACAATTCCGTCCATAATATATCTTTAAATAATGCTTATCATGTATATGGCTATTATGAAATGTTATTTAATTGTAAATTTATACAAATATATAACATTACTTTTGAAATGGTGTTTATGTTGTATATTTTAAATTTTAATTGGGATTAGTATATTAAAGTAGGTACACATGAAGAGAAAACATTAAATGTATTAAATGGTATTGCCAGTCAAACTCACTTTTATAGATTTTAAACTACTTTTAGGTTTGTCAAAATTCTATAAAACTTTAAGACAATCCTGACGAAGGCCGTAATATTTTACTTGCTGATGGTTATTATATATGGAAGAAGAATTTTGATTTTACTTAAAGATAAATAAATTAATCTTTAAATTGTTGTATTAGTGTAAAAATGCCAAAATAATAAAAAACTAATACTTTTTGGTAGAGTACATAATTTATTAATCACTATCTAAGATTTCAATTTAATTTATCACTTGTGTGTGATGATGTCACTCTGTAGTTAGCAAGATCCTTCAAAAATATATTGCAAATTTTATTAAATCGCAGACAATATATGTACGATTTGGGTGTATCTCACAGAAATAGATTTCCATGCACAGGAGACTCATGTTTTATATATTTCTAATTCATTGTAATTTTTACAGTGCTGGGTATGTATTTAATTAATAAATAGGAACAAAATATATATTATTATTATTTTTATAGTATATCAGAATATAGATAACATATGTGTGCAGAAAATGCTTAAAACACAAACTATACCTTTTCTGAAATTCTTCTCCGATAGAAATATTATAAATGATTACATGAAAAAATGTCAAAGATTCTGTTGAAATATTTATATAAAAACAGCATAAATAATTGGGATGTTACAAGCTTTTTGTCATTTTGTATCTCAAATATCATCGGTTTAGTGCATCACTTCAAACAAAATTCCAAAGGGCAAACTATGTGAAGTTCAAAAACAAACTAATGATGACTACATTGTAGATGTACAATAATAAAGCTATTAAGCACTGGGGGTCTCGATAACATTAAATGATCTATAAGATCAACTGTAAATATTAAATAAACAAATACTAGACAATACTAGACAACAGGAAAATTTACATCTAAAACAAACAGAAACCAATAAAACGAGATGAAACACTATTTGGAGTGTTATGAAATTATTCAACGGGCTTCCGAAAGAGTTAATGATGACCGAAGAAAAAAATAAATTTAAAATTAAATTAAAAGAATATTATAAAGATATTTGAATAAATTAGACCAAAGTATGAATGTAAAAATGAATATACGTATGATTGAATTATAGAATAAAAGATATAAAATGTTGTAATGACCATATCATATGTAGAATATATATATATATATATATATATATATATATATATATATATATATATATATATATGAGTAAGTTCTTCAAGGGCATACATCAAATAAAAGGCAAAGATTTAGAAGTTAATTTTTAATTTTTCCAAACGTTTCGATATAAGATTTTATGTCATCATCAGTGGATCTACAGAATGAACATTGAAAAAGTTTATATAAACTAGGAAAAAATGACAGAAATTGGAAAAAGAACTATAGATATAAGTAATATAATTATAACAATAACAATTATAACTAAACAGATAGATAAACAAGAGAAATGAAAAGTAAAAAGAAATATATACAAACATACAAAAGCGTAATATATATACATAAATATACACATAAACATATATATATATATATATATATATATATATATATATATGATATACATGTACAAACACGTACACATATACATATATATATACACATAATACGTATATATAAATATATACATACGGACATGTACACATGTATACACAAAGTAAGAAGGCATCACACCGTTTATTAATGCAAGATCTATTGATGCTGATTAGACAGGATTCAGCAAACCTTCTCTGAATAATGTTCCGTTCGTGATAAAGTGTACTAGCCTTGTAAAAGTTAAAAGAATGTTTAAAATTTTTTATATGTTCTGTTATCATGGTTTGATTTTGTCGAGGATTTTTTGAGTTATTATCATGTTGTTTTATATATATATATATATATATATATATATATATATATCGGTTCAGTGCATCGCTTCGAACAAAATTCTAAATGACAAACTATGTAAAGTTCTAAAACAAACTAATGGAATGACTACATTGTAGATGTACAATAATAAGGCTATTAAGCTCTGGGGGTCTCGATAACATCAAATTATCTAAAGGGTCGACTGTACATAATAGTCAATTGTACATATTAGCTTGTACTCAAAATTTTATTATTATATATGATAAGACTATGTAAAATTAAAACTTTTAAAATCCTTTTGAAATTTCAATTAAACTAGTTTATTTTGCAATAATAATTATTTGTATATAAAGTATTCACATATCACACAAGTAGATTTCGTTTTTACACATTTGTATTAAAATGATTTATAATACATTACCTAAACTTAATAGTTAAATACAAAACAAAGAAAACAAACATAGCAAATAAAAACATATACACCATATAATAATTGTGCCCCCCTTTACCTAACATTTTAACTTTCCTCATCGTATTTCCCAAAAATCCACCAGTATTGTCCATATCATCATCAAATCCTTTAAGGAATTTATCTTGATATTTAACTTCATTGCCAATATCAATTGATAGAGATTTGAGAATGCCAATTTTGTCTTTCAGTTCACCAGTCATTCTTTCATTTTCTTCTTCCATATGATCAAAACCAGCACTAGTAGATTGCAAAGGTTCGTAATTTCCGTGGGACCTCCTCATTTTATAATTTGTATTTATATGCGCCAGATTTGAGCTTTTATGTAAACAAATAGCTGAATGATTAGTTCTACAAGCGTTAATGATGCTTATTTGTAATCGAGGACGTGGCGTTTGAGGTTAGAAAATCATTCGAGTTGATTTTACTCACTCATTTTCACTTTCCATTATTGTAATGCATTAGTGACGCAGTGGGAATTACAATTTAGACCAAATAATTTTTCTCATGATTTCATTCTCTCAAATAAATAGAATAAATAATTACATAGGGCTTCAACTACGCTTGGGTTTAACTCTGTGACTGTTGACAGATCTATGCGCTGTCATTATCACTAACGTCAAAAGTGACTAATAAAATACTAGTGGAGCGCATGGCATCGTGCCTTAAGGCAAATTGCTAGAACTTCCCGTACCAAAAATTATTTTTTTTAAAAAGACTAACATTTTTGGAAAAAAATTACTCTGAAAAAAATATATTTTCGAGAAACTATAAATTTTTGACAAAAATTTACTTTTTTTGAAAAAAAAGGCTTTTTGAAGAAAAATTTATTTTGAAATATTTTGGAAATTCTGAACTTTTCGTCAAAGTAATCGTACTGCTTTAACTGCATAGAGACGAAATATCGAAGCACGTAAGCGCCGCGCTGCAGTCTAACGGATAAGCAATGGTACGGAACCCATAAGAATGTAAACAAAATTTATACTTATTGTTGAAATCTCTATAAAATATCTAATAATTTGATGTGCATATATCTAATGATCATTTTTGACCGCCAAATGGCATTTTTTTTACTTTTTTTACTAGATCTCCGAAACCGCTAGACCTGCCTTCATGAAAATTTGACCAGTTCTTCATCTTGTTAATACAAGTAAAATGTTTTTTGAATTTTTAAAATCGGACGCTCCGTTCTCTTAAAACCCGTGTTACTGTTTTTGGCACTTTTTGCCCCGTATCTTCGGAGCGGCTAGACCTGCCTCCGCCAAAAACTAATCAGCACGTCTCCTTATCAGTACGAATCGAATGTTTTTTGAATTATTTAAATCGGTTCATCGGTGTTCCCGAAATCGTCGACGAAAATTTGTATCCGAACACACACATACGCCACGCACGCACACACACACACACACACATACATCCATTTTTCTAAGGTATGCCAAAATGCTCAGAAGGTTTTCAAACGTAAAGATATATACAAATTTTCATTTTCGATTTTTTTGCGATTACTATAACTTGCCCTACCGGAAGTTAATAAAATAATAAAATGTCTTTTTATTTTTTATTTTATTTACCAACGATTGGATGGTAACTAGTAGTGCATGGCATCGTGGCTTAAGGCAAATTGCTGCAACTTTCGAATAATTTAACCTTTTCGACTCGGATGCCGCAAAATTCATATAAGTCTCAAAATTCGCGAGTGGAAAAGGTTGAATTTTTTAAAAGCTTTAACGTTTTTAAAAACTTCGAAAAAATTAGATTTTTGAAGATTTTGAAAAAAATGAAATTTTTTTTCAAGACAATCGCGTTGCGTGTTTGGTTTGTTTAGAGACAAAAAATCTAAGCGCATAAGCGCCGCGTCGTAATCTAGCGGGTAAACATCATAAATCTTATTGATACGGAACCCAAAGAAATGTAAGCAAAATTTCTACTTATTACTAAAAACTTAATAAAATATCTGACTATATGCTGTTCATATATGAACGTATACGGCTAATGATCATTTTTGTCCGCCAAATGGCGTATGTTTTTACTTTTTTTACTGGATCTCCGAAACCGCCAGCCCGCCTTCCTAAAAATTTAATCAGTTTTTCATTTTGGTTTGTTTTTTTATTGGATCTCAAAAACTGATAGACCTGCTTTCTCAAAAGTCATCATTTTGTCGATACAGGCAAAATACTTTTTGAATCATTAAAATCGGATGCTCCGATCACTCACAGTGAATTGCCCCGAATTTCCGAAGTAGCTAAGTAGATCTTTACCATATACTTAATCAGCAATATAAAGCAAATGTTTTGGATTCAAATCGATTTTTGAATTTTTGAAATCGTTTGATCCGTGTTCTCGAAAACGTTGACAAAAATTTGTATCCGCGCATACACACGCACACGCACACACACATCCATATATTTATCTAAAGTATGCCAAAATCTTAAAACGTAAGGTCTTGCGTAAAGATATGCAAACATTTTCATTCTCGATTTTTCGACAAAGGAAAAAAAATAGATAAATTAACAATTAATAATGGTAATTTTTTTTTGTATAATTTATTTTTGTTAATTAAGACTTTAATTACAAAATTATTTACAAAATTGATAGGTGCAAAAAAAATTAATAATGGTAATGATTTTGTTAACAATATGAAATAATAATGCATATTCAGATAGATTAAGAAATCGGTTGATTTTTAGACATTATCAACTTTGTGGGACATATTAAAATATAGCAAAAAAATGAAAACCTTTTGTATATATACACATTCAAAGACGTTTTTATCATTTTGGCGTACCTCCGAAAAGATAAATTATTTTCCAAAAAGCTAATGTGAGCTTCTTAGCGGATTAGTGGTTAGAGTAATGGGATGAGAATAAGAAGTTACGTGTTGTCTGATGCAAAACATTAGTGATATCGGTTTTTACTCGGTATTGCAGCATTAATATAAACTAGGTAAGGCACAATGCACGAACTTTCCGACATGTGCAAATAATAATAATAAATCAATATGTTAATGTATGAGTTGTTGTAGAGTAGACCATTATAATGTTAAAAACTATTGCAGATTATTCAACTTCGCATCAATTTTTCGGAGGACGGAGTATTTTCTAAAAGCGCAGCCGATTATTCCAAATGTTGTTGATTTTTATATAAATTTTTATATAAACGTAAAAGCTATAGATCTTTTATTTCAGTATGTTCATTCAAATCAGGAATTCTATAGCCATAAGGTTTCATTGAAATCGCCAAGAAAATGTGTAACAATCAATTACGAAGAAACAGCCCGGCTGATCTTTCCAAAAACTAATCAGCACGATTTCCAACAAATAGCTTTTGAATCATATAAATCTTTACAGATATAAAAAAATTACAGTAAGGACACAGAAAAAAGGTCAAAAACATCTATTTTGTGAGGGGAATAGACCCCAATATAGTTTTTTTTATACCTGGGGTTAATAACTATTTCGAGATCAAAACTGGTCCATTATCATCCACAGAGTATTATAGATATTTTGAAAGGCCATGTAAGATTACAATGGGAACAGGTAATAGGTCAAAAGATATAAAGTGATACCGACGCGTCATAAAATTTAGGGGTCCTGTAGTGTTGTGATGGTCATTTAAAGATCAAAACTAGCCTCTGCAGGACCAAATGGAAGATCCCTCGATAAAATGTTTAGATATAAACTCTTAATTTGTTAATTCATAAATGATGAAGGTATTTCCTAAGAGGTTCCAAAAGTTGGAATTGAACAACTTGCGATAATGAATAATTTCATCACAAGGTATTTAAAATTCCCGACTAATTTATCATCGCAGAAATATGCTTTTTTAACTATTTTTCGCTAAACTAAAAATTGTTCTCTCAAAAACTGTAACTTTTTACACATTGAGCTCCGTAAAACGGCTCCGTAAAACCTGTCTTTGCCGAAAAACTAATCACCATTTCTCCCCATCATTACGATTTGAATGTTTTTTAAATCATTTCAATCGGATGCCCGGTTCTCGCAAAAACCGAGTTTCCATTTTCTGCACTCTTTGCTTCCTATCTAAGAAACGGCTGGACCGACCTTTCTCAAAAACTAATCAGCACTAATCACCATCAGTAGGAATCGATCGCTTTTTGAATTATTAAAATCTGTTGAGCGGTACTCCCGAAAACAAAAAATTGTATCCACATGCATACACACACATCCATTTTTTATGAGGTATGCCAAAATGTTCAGAAACTTCTGAAACGTGAAGATATGCAAAAATTTTCATTTTCGATTGTTGGCCTATTACTATAACTTATCCCATGAAAAGTTAATACTTTTTTTATGGATTTTTAGATATTGTTGTTTATCTCCAGGTAGCAACGTTGTAAGAATAAAGATGATGGCTGATTATACATCTTTTTACTTCTACTTTCAAATATTGTTGTTGAAAGATTCCTAACTTAACTTGTTTTGAACTTCCCGTAGGGCAAGTTATAGTCATCGCAAAAAAATCGAAAATGAAAATTTTTGCATTTCTCGACGTTTCAAAGGTTTCTGAATATTTTGGCATACCTTAGAAAAAATGGATGTATGTGTGTGTGTGTGTGCGTGTGTGTGTATGTGCGGATACAATTTTTCGTCGATGATTTCGGGAACACGGATGAAGCGATTTGAATAATTCAAAAAACATTCGATTCGTATTGGTAAGGAGACGTGCTGATTAGTTTTTGGCGAAGGCAGGTCTAGCCGTTCCGAAGATACGGGGCAAAATGTGCCGAAAACGGTAACTCAGTTTTTAAGAGAACGGAGCGTCCGATTTTAATAATTCAAAAAACATTTTACTTGTATTGACAAGATGAAGAATTGATCTTATTTTCATGAGGGCAGGTCCAGCAGTTTCGGAGATCTAACCAAAAAAGTAAAAAAAAATGCCATTTGGCGGTTAAAAATGATCATTAGACATATGCACATCAAATTATCAGATATTTTATAGAGATTTAAAAAGTATTTTTTTGTCCAATTTATAGTTTCTTTTTTCAAAAATGTTAATCGTTTTTAAAAAAATAATAATTTTTGGTACAGGAAATTTCAGCAATTTGCCTTAAGGCACGATGCCTTAATTGCCTTAAGACAGAATTCCACTTGCAGCTAGTTATAATATCGGCGGTGGATCTATTTATCCGCGGGCCTTTAAGCTTCACTCTATGATAATTTTCTTGACAATTACCAAATTTATCATAAAAATTTTAATATTCTTGAAATGTAAAATGTTCCATACAACAAGTAACTGATTTGTCTATCATATGCGACAGTTTCAAGACATTACGTTCATATTCTTCGTTCTTATTCGTCTCAGAGCTCAGAGCAGCATCTGTTCAGATGTCCACGCTCCACGGTTTCTGCGGTCTCCGTCCACCCACCTACACCATTTGCTCACAAAGGCCGATCGACCAACCACAAGCACATATGAGAATCATATTATTTTTATTTTCCTACTGACGACGGGATTTTTTGCTACCCCGAACACAATGCTCCCAATATTTTTATTCGCCGGGGCAACGTCAATAGCAGAAATATAAGCAATATTTCATAACCCCGCT